AGTTCTTCAGTACCCGCGGGTGCCGCTCAAGCTGTACTGGTGCATTCAACGCCTATGCCGGAAGATTCGGTCACAGTTATAGGCCCGGATTTCAATCAAAAACTATCAATTCCCAATTTAATAAGTAGTTATGATAGAATCGGTTACCAAGCAACAAACGTCGGGAGAGCCATACGAGTTATCAATCAAATGGTAGACATCCATACATGCCCATATGTTTTGGTTTATTTCCTACATTTGTTGTCGATAGAATATATTACCAATAAAATTAAGATTTTTTGAACGATAGAGAAAATGGCGATTATCAGATGATCCAATATTACCTGATGAGAGTGATGAGTACAAGGTACCAAGCGTACGATCGGCTACCAAATGCAAAATATTTCTTGGATACACCTCAAACCTTGTATCCTCCGGTCTTCGCGAAATCTTCCGGTACTTGGTTCAGCATTCGCTCGTGGATGTGATTGTCACAACGGCGGGTGGTGTTGAAGAAGACTTCATCAAATGCTTGGGTTCTACATACCTAGGCGACTTTCATTTGCCTGGTGCACAGTTGAGGAAGAATGGAATGAATCGGATTGGTAATTTGCTGGTTCCTAATGATAACTACTGTAAATTCGAGGATTGGGTGATACCAATCTTGGATCAAATGTTGGAAGAACAGAAAAAAGAAGTAGGTCACATGTTTACGCCCATACGGTATTTAATTTTTGATCTAGAGTGACCATTGGTTTACTTCTGTTTAAATTTGCGTTGAATTAAGAGGATAGTGTGGTCACCCTCAAAGATCATCGATAGATTGGGTAAGGAGATCAACAATCCTGAGTCGATATATTACTGGGCACATAAGGTGTGATTCACATTTGTGGTAATTTTCTTTCAAGACCGACCAACTAAATTCTTGCTAATCCCTTAATAGAATAATATTCCAGTGTATTGCCCAGCACTCACAGATGGATCGCTGGGAGACATGATCTATTTTCATTCGTTTAAAAATCCAGGGCTCATAATAGATCTGGTGTCGGACATCAGATCGGTGAATAATCAAGCAGTATTTGCTAAGAAAACGGGGATGATAATACTGGGAGGAGGAGTAGTAAAGCATCACATATGCAATGCCAACCTCATGGTGAGTGATAAATGTGCTTCAGAAATCGAACCAGAAGAAAGTGAAATGATGAAAGATTAATCCGATCATATGACGATACAAAAGAGAAACGGAGCAGATTACGCTGTTTACATAAATACCGGACAAGAGTTTGACGGAAGTGATTCGGGAGCAAGGCCGGATGAAGCTGTTAGTTGGGGTAAGATTAGGATGGCGGCCGAATCAGTTAAGGTAATTAGTTAAATGGATCGTTATCAAATAGAAGAATTATCATGATTGAATCATCTCTCTTTTGTAATTTAGATTTATTCGGATGCCACCATTGTGTTCCCGCTCATCGTGGCCGAGACTTTTGCCAAAAATTCTAAT